TTTTTCTCCTTCTTGTATGCACGCTTTAAAGCCTGTTTTTTCTTCAATATTATCCTCCTAAATTGTTTAAATTGTCTCACCATCTTTTTCTTGGTCTGCCAATACTTCTTTGTTCATTTGGTGACTTATCTCGTGCTATTCGCACTATCCTATCCTCTGCCATTCTACTGATGTGTTCGTTCCACCCACTACCCCGATGTGTGGGTTCCTATTCCCAGATATCTAAACCTTGCTTCCTGCTTTACTATCTTTCCATCAATTTCGATTTTACATCATAATGGGTATTTAGATGTAGTCATACATTTGTTTTTTCTGCTGATATTATCACATTATATTTCTTGCTGTCTTGCGTAACCCCGTCTATCTTGCGCCGCTCTTATCCAATTTTTATTGATTCTTCTTAAATCGTCAGTCCATCTTGTAGGTGGTCAACCGACGCTTCTCTTGTCTTCCCTTGGCCTCCATTTCAATAACCTCTTTGTCCATTGCTCATCTGTCATTCTGGCTATGTGTCCTGCCCATCTCCATTTTAGTCTGGCTATCTTCTTGATGATGTCAGTCACTCCGGTTCTTCTCCTGATGTCTTCGTTGGTTATTCTGTCTCGCAGAGTTATTCCTAACATGGACCGCTCCATTCTTCTCTGCGTGACTCTCAGTTTGGTAGCTGCTGCTTTTGTTAAGGTAAGTGTTTCTGCTCCGTACGTCAAGACTGGGAGGACGCACTGATCAAATACCTTTCTCTTTAGGCATGTGGGCAGCTCACTTTTAAAAGTTTCTCTCAGTTTTCCAAATGCTGCCCACCCAAGGCCGACTCTTCTCTTCAGTTCATGAGTCTGGTTATCTCTGCCAATCATAATTTCATGTCCCAGGTATTTATATCTATCTACGAGTTCTATTTCTTTCCCACCAATACTGATGTTCTGGTTGGGTACCAAATTGGTCATGATTTTTGTTTTCGAGATATTTATATTTAAACCTACATTTTCTGTAGCCACAACGAGTTCCTGTACCATCTCTCTTGCCATACCTAGATCTTCAGCTATTATAAGTATATCATCGGCGAAACGTAAGTTGTTTAGATATTCTCCATCTATTTTTATTCCCTTTTTCATCCAATCCAAATTCTTAAAAGCATGTTCTAGCACCGTATTAAAAAGTTTAGGTGACATTGGGTCTCCTTGTCTAACCCCCCGTTCTATTTTTATGCGATTACTGTTAGTATGTAATTTGACAGTGGTTGTTGCCTGCAGGTATATTTTGTATAATAATTTAGTATATCTATAATCTAGCCTGCATTCTTTAAGCGCCTGTAATATTTTGCTTAGCTCAAATGTGTCAAAGGCTTTGTGAAAATCGATAAATATTAGAACTAGAGGTTTATTGTATTCCACTGCTTTCTCTATTAGGGTTTTTATACTTTGTAGATGGTCATTTGTTCCGTATCTTTTTCGGAATCCTGCCTGTTTCCTTGGTTGATAAGTCTCTAATTTTCTTTCCATTCTCTTAACCAGTATTCGCATAAACAACTTATATATATGGCTGAGGAGGCTAATCGGTCTGTAATTCTCTAAATTTGCTTTGTCTCCTGCTTTGTGTAATAGAATCATAGTAGCGTTGTTCCAGTCTGTTGGAATATTGACGCTGTGAAGGCAGATATTGAAAAGTTGTTTAATTTTTTCAAGTAATACATCCCCTCCAATTTTTAGTGCTTCTGATACTATTCCCTTCACTTGATATCTTCACCCAGGGTTCGATTATTTTTCATTTTCTTCAGGGCTTCTTTGATTTCTGATTTTGTTATACTGGGCATTAAATCTGATCCTTGGTTTAATACCCCAGTTTTTAGTGTAATTGGAGGTTCCGTATTGTTTTTTTTTCTTGATCTATATAACTCTGTGTAGAACTCTTCGACTATTCTTAATATTTCATCTCTGTTCGTTGTTTCTTCTCCAGTTCTGTTTCTCAGTTTGTTGATTTCTATTTTCCCCTTTTGTACGCTCCTCTTCAAAACTTTCATGTTCTTATTTTTCTCTATTGCCTGTTTTGTTTTTTCTACATTGTAGTTTCTTATGTCTTTTCTTATTGCCTTTGTGATCGTCTTATTTATTTGATTTTTCGCTTCTTTGCTTGCAGTGTTATCTCCTTTCATTTGTCGCCTTAGTTCTATAAGGGTTTTCGTGGGTTGACTCAGTTTTTCATCTTTTTTGCTTGTCGGACAATATTTAGTTTGAGCCTGTTGCATTGTGTTGACTATTTGTTTGTTCAATATATTGATGTCAGCTGTTGTATCTTTCAATGAATTCCCAATATATTTTTCGAACTCCTGAATGTTAGTTGGATTTGTCCATTTCTTTGGTTGTTTCTTATTTATCATTTTGAGTCTGTCTTTTTCGGTTGATATCGTTATTTTAGCTCTTACTAACCTATGATCACTGCTTGTACTGAACTGGTTTAGCACATTTAAATCTTTAAATAATTATTTTTTGTTTGTTTGTTTGTTTGTTTGTTTGCGTACGTCTTGTATTATTTCGTCCATTATTATATTAACGAGTCACCCTGCCTGACTCCGCTTTGTACTGGTATACACTATGTTAGTTTTCCATTTACCTTTGCCTGTATTCGATTATGGAAGTAGATGTTTTCGATGGTTTGTGTAATATTGATTGGTATGTTTCTTTTATCAGTAGGTGTAAGACGTCTTCGTCTTGGATGCGATCGAAAGCCTTTGTCAGGTCTATAAAACATAGATATGCTGGTTTATTGTACTCAATGGCCTTTTCTGTGATTTGTCCTAGTACAAATACGGCGTCTACGCAGGATCTTCCGGATCTGAATCTTTGTTGTTCATTTGATAAAGTTGTTAGTTTATTGATTTTGTTGGTTAACACTTTTGTGGTAAGCTTAAGTGCGGTGTTTAGTAGATTTATACCTCTATAATTGTTAAATTGTTAGGGTCTTCTTTATCTCCTTTCTTGAACATTAGTATTATTATGCTGTTTCTCTATGCGTCTGGTATCTTGCAGTGCAATATTAGTTTTTGTGTAAGTTTTGTCGTCTCTAGGGTTATACTTTCTCCTCCATCTTTTAGAAGCTCGTTGGTTATTCCGTCTGGTCCTGGATTTGTTTATTCTATTATATTCCCTGTCTACTCCTTGTCTATGTCTATTCCTTGTTCCTTGTCTATGTATATTCCTTGTTTATTATGATTGTAAACATGGTGGCATCTAAGCTTTTTTTGCTTTCTTCCCTCGACATTTTCTTATAATTATCGTTTCCGTAATTATTATAATAATTGTCAATAAAAAATGTTTCTTACCTCTGAGGGATATGAAAAATAGATAACGACCTATTTTCAGATTTACCAAATATACATATACATACCAAATATATGTACCTATATGTAAAATTTCATAAAAATCCGACCAGCCATTTCAGAAGAGTATGATAACTTTTTCAAATGTTAATGTTAACGATAACTTCTTGCAATTTTTTCGTCAATTTGTTGACTGATCTGTCAGGATGTTTTCTCAAAGCTTTTCTCTATCGAGGGCAAGTTGGGACTGTTAGAAGCCCAAAATCTTCCGCTAATGTTAAATGGTGTTCCATAATCGGTAAAAGAGATTCTTCTAAAATATTCAAATATTTGTCCGTGTTTACAATCATGTCGATAAAATGCAACTCTCCCACACCTTTAGACGTCATGCTGCACTAGATCATGACAGATGCAAGAAATTCGACTTTTCTATTCAGACAGTCGGGATGAAAAGCTTCATTTTTACTGCGAATGACGCGATTCCTACTGTCTCAAACACTCTTAAAATCTTGACTCACCACTTCATTGTATTGAATACCATTAGGACTGAGTCCAATCTTTATGCTCTTTTGACCATCTTAGTCTATTTTTCTTTTGTTTTAATGTTAAAAGTGGCTTTTCCTTAATGTTAAAAGCAATTCGTACTAATTTTTTCAACTATACAACTTACTTTGTAAGTGCCAAGTTCTAATTTGTGGGCCTCTCAGTGACATGTTGATCTAGAAACGTGTCTTCAAATAACGTCACTCCATAAAACGCTTAACTCCATATAATTTGCTCGTAGATTTTTAACTATAATGCGTTTTAATGCCCTTCGATCGGCTTCGGTTATTTTACTTTTTCGTATTTTTGTAGGTTTTGTGACGACCGAACCTGTATTTTGTATCTTGTGACTATTTTTCTTACACTATAGCGTGACAATTGCAACATATTCGAGATTTCCGAATTGGATTTTCCAGAATTGAAAAATCTAATAATGATTGAACACATTTTCTCATCGATAACTTTACCTCGACCCATTGTACAATCCACAAGCTGCAAAAAGCTTTACAACGCTACAAAACACATTTGACATTAACTGGCAATATTATTGTTTTGACGTCATTTTTCCATAGGGGTTTAGTACAATTTTTTTTATTGTTGAAAATAAATAAAAAACCATAAGGGTAATGTCTTTAATAAACATTAATAAAAATGTCATATTAATTAATATGAGAACTTATAAAAACATGCAGAGTATAATTTGTTTATGGTAATCGACTTAAACTGCAAATTCCATAGGTGGGCCAACTGATATGGGAAGGGCCTCGTTTATATATAAAGTAGTGTTTTTTTTCGATTATCTGGGGAAACACACATTGTAAATACACAGTAAAATTGTAAAATACGTTTAAATTGATCCGCTGATTGAGCTCTTTCATTGGACATATTCTTTGACCTTAGGTGACGATTATGTTTATTTTGTCTATACAGTATAATAAAATAATTAAGGTTGACTCTCCTTCACAGTTATAATTTGACAACTACTTTAAAACCTTTTAAAGCAAAAATGTATTTCATTACACTCTACTCTATTTTACATAAAAGAATACTTAGATTAAAAATTAGATGAAATTTTTTAATTTAAGAAAAATAAAATACTCTCCGCTGTTGACAACATTAGCAAAATGTACAAAAAAAAACTTACCTGATAAGGCTTTAGTTGCTTGTAGTCTTTGAAAGCTAGATTATGATCAACTAAAAACTCTATTGGTTGGAGGTGGGAGGGGATATTTACAGTTGATACCAAAGCAGAAAATGTCTGAAATAAAAGAAAATAATTAGTATAGAGTCATTGTTAAAATAAACTATACAATTGGCGTTTACAGCAATTTATATTAAAAATATTATATGTATACAATATTTGATAATGTCTGCTACATTGGCAGGCAAAAAGTCAGCAAGAAACAATTCCAGACAATGAGTGGTCTATAAATTCAATAAACTTTATGATCATCATAATTGGTGCTTTCTCAGCAGATTCGATTCCTCTATTCGGTACTATTCTGTGTAGCTTGAAGCCAGTTGACAACACCGATCTTTCTGGCATCCTCATCTACACTTAGGTAGCTTTAATTTGCTCTGGTTAGATCTCGTGTCCACCATAGGCGTCTTATTTTTATTGCAGTCACTAGGTATCTGACTTCAGCTAATTCTTTATACTTATTGTATCATTCAAAGTTATATCGACGATAAGAGGTCTCATTTTCATTTACTGGTAATATTTTTCTCAGAACTTTTCTCTGGAATAATAACGCTGTTTTCAAATCACCAATGTTTCACAATCGTACTTTAAAGGGTTCAAGAAAGATTCGGAAAGATGGGAGAAAATTTTAAAATAAGAACCTAATTTCAAAGACGTAGAAAATGCTATTCAGAAAAGGAAAGCTAAAATAGACGCTTCGAAGCTTTGCAAAAATTTAAATCCTTATGCCGGGTCCAGACCAAGCAGACAAAACGAAAACACAATTCTGAAACAAAAACACGATAAATCGGCGACAAAATTTGTCGTCAAAAGACAAAACAAAATTGAGACAAACTGTCCACACCAGAACAACAAAATATAAAAACAAAATTCAGTTGGTGACGTTGTTGTTGTGATTAGTGTTGGTTAACCATGTGGCGTTTTAATAAAGAAAAAAATGAAACTGAAGATTTATTGCTAGCCGCAAGTTGTTTTTTTTTGCTCTCATCATCATCCCAGGTTGCTAAACGAAAACCCAAACGTTTTTGGATTAGACCAAGCCTAAAAATGCGAGAAAGTTGTTCGATAGACAAATTGTTACTTCAGCTGCGCGCAGATGATATTGGACTAAGTGGTGAAATTCGATCAAGCTTCAAAATTTTTTTAAGAATGTCCACCGAAGATTTTGAGAATCTAATATGCCTTGTTGGTCCTGCAGTTGCAAAAAGACATAGGTACTAACTTTAGAAATGCTATAAGTGTAACAGAACGTTTAGCAATCACTTTAAGATTTTTAGCAACAGGTGATTCCTACCATAACCAAACCATTTTGAACTGAAAAGTTTCCCAGCCCCAGATTTTTTAAGTTTCTTGTAGTTTCGTCTTTCTCTAGCATACTGGTTGTTAACATTCTTTATTTTTTTTAACACCATTTAGTGGCACATTTAGCGATAAAGAAATTTCCTTTAATGCATCGGCTTTCTTGTAGCGATTTTTATAATCTTTATTTTTAGGGTCCCATAATATCGAATGCTCCCTGTAAATTTCTATTAACTTGCATGTATTTTGTGTATTCCACTTTTTGTCCCCCGACATGTTTAGAAAAATACACTAGTATTTATTTATTCACTACACAACAGAAAAATACACTTGATTTTGATAAAAATTGTACATTCTATTTTCCTACTGCTTAACTCGTTTTGGCACGCACACGCGTCCACACTGCGTCGACAACTGTCGTCAAAAACACAGACAAAACACAGACCCTTTGATCTTTACCGACCTGAGACGGGACCTGAAAAAGTTTTCAAATCTGCAAACAAAACAAAATTGTTTCAGAAATGTCTCATCAAATGTTTTCGATTTGTCGCCACTTTGTCGCGAAACATGAATGTTTTTGTTTTGTCTGCTTGGTCTGGACCCGGCATTAGATGTCGTGCATATATAAGGCGGTAGGATTGACTTGAAAATCAAAGCCTTTACCTACGATGTATAGTCCTCTTAGGTGCTACATGTGAGAGTCTAATGCTGCAGCGATTGTAAATGGCTAGACAGTCGTAGAAAAGGATACGACATCATCCCCACCGGCACCGTTAGAATCTTCCAACTGTATATGATTTTGTTTATTTCGTGGATGTTCAGCCATTGGAAATTTTGCTTCCTTTTTACTTAACAGAGTTGTAGACATTGCGATTATCTCTCATTGGTACGTCGAGCTCAGAAATAAAACTGAAATAATTTTTGTCACTGGCTTTTATTAAGTTATTTCTAGTTATCCCTTCTCAACCAGAAAACACAAAAAAGCTTTCCGATCGAGGAAAGCCTTTCCTTACCTTTAACGTATATTTAATATATGCAAAATGTTTTGTTAATCGGGATGTATATTTGAGGTGCCTACTGCAGTTGTATTTGAGAACTTCCTTAAGTAAGGGTTCAGTTTTTTTACTTAAACTTTCACATTGGGTATAATTTTAGGGCGTGATCTCTATTGTTTATGTTTCCTAGTGGTTCTATTTCTATCGCTTTCTTTATTGGGCTTGTTTTGTAGGAAAGCTGAGTGTAGTACACTGATAACCAATCAATGCACTTCAGTATACTACTATTAGTAGCGCATTGATTGATGATCAGCGTAGTACTGTCTGGGGTTCGGGAGACTAAGACCTCGAAAGCACTGAAGAAGACAACAGAGAGGACACGCTTCAACCCAGAAGTTTTTGAGTTTAATAAAAATTCTTGTAATAGTATTAATCTTAGCTTCAGGCTAACGCTATCGTATATATTAATTGTCAATTAAAATCAATGTTTCGGCAGAAAACCCTTACCTTTCTCAAGATTCTAAAATGTACAAGATTAGGAACAAAACGGTAAAATATATAAAAAAACTTACCAAAACGTAAAACGGGACACTGACATTAATGAATTGACTGAAGTAAAAATTGATATCTGATATATCATGGTTTACTGTCATTAGTATATAATTAGTTTTATATGGACGTATCGTTGAGGTTTTCGAAAAGGGTAAAGTGGAGATATGTTATGACTTTAATAGTTTTTTATGGCGTTAAGTATAATATTTATTTTATTTAGGTTCTGTGTATCTCTTTTGTCATTGATTGCGTTGATATTTCTTTTATTTCTATTAATTTGTATATATTCCTCTTCTTTTTGTTTTGTTCAGTTTTTAAAATTTTGATGTTTTCGGAGTCAAATTTATGCTTCGTCTCATTTTCCTGTTTTATGAGCGCAGTGATGTTGTTCTTGTCATATTTGTGAGAACGAATTCTAGATTGAAGCAGTTGACTGGTTTGCCCGATATAGACACCTTCACAGTTAATATATCATAGTATCCCGTAAACATGTGATTTTTTGAGTTTTGGAGTTTGTGTGTTTAGTTTAGTGAAATATTTATTTAAAAGGTTGTTGCCTTGGTGAGCCACTGTTATGTTATGTATGGAAGAGTTGTATACGCAGTCTTGTTGCTGTTGGGTTTATTGTTATTTGTATTGCTGTAAAATTTATTAAGTCGTGATTTGAAAATAGTTTCGATAAGATGTTCGGGAAATGCATTCTTTAGAAGGGCATTTTTTGCTTTTGTTATTGCAGTTGGTCTGTATTCTGGATCTGTTAGTTTTAAAGTTATTAGCAAGAGTTATAACTTATATAGTAGAGTATATAATAGATTTTTTATGGGAAAATCAATGATGATATTTGTAGTTGAGATATCGTGAAGACCATGTTTCTTTTGTAAACCACATGGTTTTAACTGTGTCATTAATGCGATGTAAGGTGATATCCAGAAAATGTATTTATTATTTTGTTCAATTTCTATAGTAAACTTTAGTTTTGGAAAGTAACAGTTAGAATTATCTTAATTTCGTTAATTTTATTTGTTGGAATAGCATAGATACAGTCATCGATATAGCGGTAGAATAATGGTACATTAAAATCTAAATGACTCATGACAGATTTTTCCAGAACCAATTGAACAATGATACTAGAAATACTTGCACCCATTCCACATCCATCCATTTGTTTGTATATTTCGTCCTTATATAAAAAGTATGTTGAGTTTAATGTTAACTCTATAGATGATTGGAATTCTTGCAATCGGATGTTAGTGTACTCTTTTATGCCAATCTTTTAATGATGTCGATGACAAGTTTTATATCGGCAAACCAGTCAACTGCTTCAATCCAGAATTCGGTCTCACAAATTTAACAAGAACAGCATTCTGCGCCCACAAAACATGTAATTGAGAAAAAGCATAAATTTAACTTCGAAAACATCACAATTTTAAATACCGAGCAAACAAAAAGAAGAGAGAGATATACGAATCAATAGAAATAAAAAGAAATCCAACGCAATCAATGACAAAAAAGATACACAGAAACTAAATAAAATATGTTTCAATCGTATTTAAATAATAATAAATATACTTAGCACCATAAAAAACTCTTAAAGTCATAACATATCTTCACTGTACCCTTTTCGAAAATACTAACGATACGCCCATATAAAAATAATTATATACTAATGATAGTAAACTAAGAGATATCAGATATCAATTTTTACTTCAGTTAATTCATTCTGTCAGTGTCCCGTTTTAAGTTTTGGTAAGTTTTTTTATATATTTTACAATAACTTTCTGTTCCTAATCTTGTACATTTTTGAATCTTGACAAAGTCAAGGGTTTCCTGCCGAAACGTAGATTACAATGGACAATAAAATCGAGTTCCAAATTTATTATTTCTTATTGAACCTGTAAAATGTAGAATATACATTTTACTTTTATAAATGTATAATATAATTTTAATGTTTAGTTAAATATACATCATATTATGATGTATATTTAACTAAACATTAAAATTTATCTATGCAATCTATACATTGTTTTGTTTTTATTCGGTGAGCATTAATTAGCGAATCAACGAGCGTCGTAAAAATATTTTTGTTCAGTAAAATAAACCATTAATAAGACAATAAGTTTTAATGAGTTTCTACCGACCCTAAAAATAATGGAAAATTTAATGACTAAAGTAATAAATCATTCAGTCGCTGTTTCAATCTGAAGACAATTG